AGCACTCTAACTATAAGCTTTATCAAAGAGGAAAGTTTTAAGCCTAGCCTTAAAAGTAAACACGGTGTCTGCCTCATGAACTAAAACTGGTAGTTGGTTCCACAGGAGAGGAGTCTAATAACTAAGGGATCTGCCTCCCATTCTACTTTTAGAAATTCTAGGACCCACTAGTAAACAAAGACTAACACATGGCATTTGCTGAATAAATAACCTGCTCACAGCAGTAATTAAACAAAACTACATAAATATATATATGAATTATATATACATGCATTTGCCTATTTATATATCTTAATTTATTACAGGTATTTCTCTTTAGTTTAATCAATCATTTGATAAAACACTTGATATTTTAATCAATAATGTAAAAGTAGTCAAAATAACTCCACGAATGAGCACTAGTATCCAAACCGCCGGCAATGAGAGTCAGTAAAATACAGTTAATTGCTTATGTGCAGACATCAAAGGTGTCCGACTGGCCTCCATATCAGGAAGGTTTGTGGTCAGATATCAGTGGTTGAAGTCATATCAGTTAAAGTCCCCTCCGCTGAACCCAATCTAGCTTAGATAAGCCACAGTGTGGAGAGGAAAACTTCCTGCTATTGATGGAAACCGATGAATCCTGAGTACTTTGGTTAAGTTTGAAATCAATTGCAGAAAATAGGGATAAGAAACAACTAAATTAATGATTATGCCTTTTCAATTCATTTTTAAATGGTCAAAATAGTTTATGAAAAGCAATATATGCAAATTTTAATGGATATACTTACAAATGAAAAGAAAAATTCAATGATTCTCTATTTAAAATAGAAGCAACTGAGCTAAATATTGACAGTTTATCGGTTTAAATATTTTAAAGGTTTCATTTATTTTATGTTTATATTTTGTTTAGTCTTTCTTACAGTACGTCGTCTTAACCTTACAGTACATAGGATAATTACAATTAACACCAAGAAGATAATTCTCTAAGAATTTCTGTTGAAGCGTTGATTTAAACTTCTCTTTTCTCTAAAAGCATAACTTTTATACACCCTCATGTCATTGTAGGCCATTTAATTCCTTTAATTTTTTTTTTTTTTATTATATATGCTGCACCAAATGGTGGCAGGATGAAGTACAAGGACTGAAATGAAAATGGAAGCCAAAATCTGAAGAAAAAACATTAAAAACATCCTGAAACTCTATTTTGTAAAATTATAAGAATGTCTGTCTGATGTCTGATGGCTTAAATACCAAAAGGAAACCATGCAAAAACTTAAAATTATTATTTTTTTATTTTATTTTTTCTTTACAAAGACTAACAGCAAGAGCATTTGTAAAGAGGACAGTGCAGGAAAGAGAGGGAGAGACTCAGTGAAAGAGGTGGACGTTATTTTAAATGTTTCAGCTCTGAAAATGACCCCCAGTTATTTAAAGCTTTATATTGTTTTATATCTAAGCTTTCAGCTTCATTTACTGCCTCTAAATAGGACCTTTCTTTGATAGCAGGAGCTTTATAATCGTAGGATTGACGTTACAGGAAGTATTCCGAACACCTTTGGACTTTGGCTAGTGGACCTTTTTATTAAATGAAGAGAGGTAACCTCAGTTCAACTGGAAAACAGAGCTATCAAAGAAGAGTTAAGAGGAGGGGCTGCCAGCTGGTACCTGTCTGATCAACACAGGTTTAACCATGCTTTGAGATGTGTAAACGTGAAATAATAATGTTTTAAGACAGCCAAATATGTGGAGAATGTTAATGATCGCAGACCTCTATTGCCTGAAGGACATGGGAAGTAGTCAGTAGAGGATTAGGTGTTTTTTTCCTTACTTGTCATCAGTAACTCATAGAATTACATTGATTATTCATGGCTCAGTAGGTTTCATTAGACCCGATGACACATTTTTGGCGCCTCTCTTATTTTCTTATTTTGCTAGTCAGCTGATGCAAGCAGGAAAAAAAAAAAGCCCACTCCCCCTCACCAATAAAAAAACATGAAACCGGTTAAACTGAGCTGATGTTGCAAACTGAGGGCTGATTATGGCTCATGATGGAGTAGAGAGGAAATTAAGCAGCTTTACATCTATTTCCACCACAGAAAGGAAGTGCTTGGAAGTCCTTCCTGTAGACAGTGGACTCCCTTCCTGTCTCCATCCACTGTCTAAGGGTGTGGGCTCTTTACTCACACACGTTTGCCAGCTGTTATTGTTTCATTCACAACACCACAGCTAATTTTTTGGCTGGCCTGTTTTTTTTTTTTTTTTGTACACAGAGCCCTCAAGTTCTCTTGTGATTTGCATTTAGGTCAAAAAATGACAGCTTCTTTTTAGTTTTTCTGTGCATTTTGTTTGCTCTGCCTAATCGTTTCTGCTGTAATTGGGAAGTAAGCAAGTCTAGACTAGCGATTAGAGAAGAAATGCGACCAGGCTCTGGTAGGCTATCAGTACTATAGTTTAATACGTATGTTTTTTAGAAGAGTAATAATGTCAAACTGCTAAAATCTCCAATCCTAATTCTATTTTATATTTTAGCTCTTCTTCCCCTACCTGTTGCTGGAAACTGTTAATTATGAAGTCCGAAACTGTTGAAATTCACAATTAGGAGTTTATTTAAAAGACATGCTTTCCAGGCGTATTTTGAATGTTTTTTGCATATAGATTAAATACCATGAGGTCCCCAATATGTCACAAACACGAGTTCATCCTCTTTCTCTGCACTCTGTGCTTTTTATTTGCCTGTAGATTCTTTTTTACTCACGTGTGGACCTGTTTCTGCATTCATGTAAAAATTTTTTCCTTTGAGGATTAACCAACCTGAGATAGTAAATAGTGTTGCGCCGATGCCATTTTTTGGCCCCGATACCGATACCCGATACCTGGCTGTGCAGTATCGGCCGATACCGATACCATAATAATGTAAAATAATTGTCATCATGGCTTCATGTCAAGCTGCTGCCTACCTTTGTGAAGCAGGAAAAAGACTAAAACAAAGTGAATCCAGTAGAACTTTTTATTGCCTACCAGGAGTGGGTGACAATAGTTGAAGAAACATTTGGATCTCAGAATGGTACCAGTGCCTTATTGGTTGGTACTCGCTGATACCGATACCACCATTTTAGGGCAGTATCGGGGCCCTGTCCGATACTGGTATCGGTATCGGTGCAACACTAATAGTAAACTGCCTATTGTTGGCAGTACAGTTTTTTTTCCTAGGTGCGTACAAGTAACATTAGCAAAGAATCTTTAGGCTAATAGCCAATCTCTTTGTAAAAATAGCTTAAGTAAGGTCATCATGAAATAAACAAAATCCATGAAAGTAGTGCTCTAAAACAAATTATGTTAAAATTGGAACCTCTGTACTCCATTTGCAGCTACTGTTCAGCATTCTGTTTCTAAAATTGTAATTTGATGTTGGAGATGGTTGTTGGATATGAAGTCAGAATTCAAATCTTGATGAGAACAACTTTTAGACTTAAGATGCTTTGCTAACGTTCATACTGCCAAAATTAAGAAGTACAGTATTGTCTAGGGAGGTGGAATTTCCTGAAAAATAACCAATCACAGGCAGTTTACCTTTGTAGGTTTGCTTAACCCTCAAAGTTGACAAAAGTGCAAAGAAAGAGGTTCACAAGTGAGGAGAGAATCTACAGGAGCATAAAACATAAAAGAGCACGGAAAAAGAGCAAAAATTCATGGTTGGGATGTATTGGGGGCCTCATGGTATTAAATCTACATTCAAAAATGTGCGGGGAAAAATAAGTAAAATCGGATATTTGCTGGCGATGTAAACAAAGTCCGGAAGATATGCTTTATATGTTCCTCATGTGTCCGAACCTGATTTCTTATTAGCAGACCGTTATGGGAAAAATCAACAGCACTCTTAACTCCAATTTATTTTTGACACCTACATTAGGACTTCTTAGATTATAAGGTCAAGATAGGAACAAAAAAAACACAATGGTTAAAAATAGCCATGACAAGGCGATTTATATTAAGACACTGGAGGGGTCAAAACACCCCTAAATATACAGAATGGTACGCAGCACTTTTAGAGACCGCCTCTTACGAACGACTCATCCACAAAATAAACGGTCAGATTGAGGCGTATCGGAGTACGTGGGAACCGTTTTTAAAACCAGAGAGGAAAGAGTCAAACACTATTGATCCAGAATAAAGATGCAGTATGTGAGATTTTTTTTTTTTTTTTTTGCCTTTGGCTTTAGTTTTTTGGCTGAGGTGGGGTGAGATGTTGGGAGAGGTTCAGGGGGGAAAATGTTAATAACTCAAGTCCTTTTCTGTACAATCACTTAATGTTTTACACTTTACAGTACTGACACTGTCGTCACTGGTTTCACTCTATGTTTAATTGTTGACGGATGTAATAAATATTAAAATTTGAAAAAAGAAATGTGCGGGGAAAGATGTTTTTCATGCATAAAACTGCTTGTATGAGTATTTATAATGTTTGCACTTTTGGAAGAACTCTGGGTTCATAGTTGGTCAGCTTGCTTCTTCCCTTTGCTGACATGAAAAATAATAATAATTTGTATGCAAAAATTTCAAACTGTCATTGCATGAAAACAAGAGTAAGAACCTGAGTGACTGGAGTTTGACCAGCTGTGCAAATTTGGAGAAAATTCCCCTGCTCTAATATAAGCTGCAGCAGAATCCTGTTGGAAGGATCCATTAAAGACATCAATCAAATAAGAGCTGCTTAATTATCTCTTCTTGTCACTGCTTGGAAAAAAATGTCCTTCCAGTGTAAACCAGTCATGGTAGGTCTTTGTAAATCATCAGACTTTTCAGTGTTTCCACCTCCATCCGGTTTACAACCGGTTGTAACTGATTATTACTCCAGCCTCCAATAATCCTGGAAACATGCTGTCGTCCTTTGAAGCCAGGGGAAGAATTGCTTCAAGTGTTTTGATGAACCTGAATTGGTGACCTATGTGTCATGGCGACACTCCCTGCTGTTTGCTGGTTAAACATTACCTTATGCAAAGCCTCCTTCATCGCTGGTGGGTGTGGCTGCAGTACCCTGCCAACCGCAGGGTCATGTGCTTGTGGGCTCCTAGGAAACACGTTGCCACGTCAGCTCACCTCACCTGCTGACTGAGAATCCCGCCAGACCGGACAGACCACAGCGACAGAGATCCGTTTGATGCGTTTTCACCCCAGTGAACACAAAACCACCTAATTAATTTGGACTCATTAGTTTGAGACATGAAGTTGCTGCTTTTCTCCTTTTAAACTTTTTCTGTGTGAAATATTTTATATAATAGTAGATATTCCCTGTTTTGGTCTTGGCAGGAATGAATTTGTTTATGTAAAATGAGCCAATTTGAATGCCTCAAAGAAGCGTGAGCTCACCCTTCTCAGAGAAAGGATGCTGTAATGGCCGCCTGGTGTGCTGGTATTCAACGGGTAATGAGTGTAGGATGGTCTTTAAAAACCTGCGTAATGGCAGCTCTAAAACTGGCAGTAAAACCGCTGTTTAAGGGGGGAAAAAATTTATGACCACTGTGATTTCATTTATGTCAATAGTTGAGGTCAGCCATTGCTAAAAACAGCTGGATATAGTCTGGCTCTTTGGGGTTAGCATCTTTCCTTTACAAACTGGTAACTTGAGAATAATGTGAATTAAAGAGGGGCCATGTTTTAAAACCTGCTTGTCTCCTTTCCCCACAGTATCCATCCTCTGCTGTGTCTTCATACTCTTCCTCTTCCTGTCCGAGCTGACGGGGTTCATAGCCACCGAAATGTACGTAAGTTTGGAACATCCTGGATCTGAGACACACGCAGGGAGGGAATAATGAACGCTGAAGCCCCTCGGTATAATTTCCTTTGCCCAGCCCGACAGCCAGGCGACAGAGACAGTGTTACTAAAAGAAAATCTATTCTATGCTTGCGTCAGCTGTGTGTAATGATGGGATGACATAGAGAAGGTGTGACAAGAAGGAAATTACACATACAGATTCATAAATGTTGTTTTTGTTGTAGCTTAACCGGAGATGAATCATTTTTGTATTAAAATCATGTTAAAAATCTAATTTTTTTATGTTAATTGACCAAGTTTCTAACCTTTTCTTTCTTTGTTTCTGTCTGCTGTAGTGTAAATGAACTGTATGTGGATGACCCTGATAAAGACAGTGGTGGGAAGATAGATGTGAGTTTAAACATCAGTTTGCCAAACTTACACTGTGATTGTGAGTATTTACAAAGACACACCTCTTTATTTCTCTCTCTGCTGGTATGCGCCTCCTGTTACACTGCTAATGATGTTCGCTTTAGGTCTTTATTCTTCTATTTTATTGGACAATGAGATACTTTGCATTTCTGTATATTTATCACAACAGAGTTTTGGTTTAAAGGTTATACTGGGATTATAATCAGATGACTGGATGTCCTTTAGTGACCTGCATTTAACTGGTTTTGGCCTAATTTTGGCTGGATTTCCTTCTTTACATTTTTTTAAATCAGTTTTTCCAACTGGTTAGTTTCCTGAATCCTGCAATCGTTTGTAATCCACCTGATCTAAAAGTCATGAAAACGTGTGAACAATGCGTACAAACCAGATTTGTACAGAGAAAGCAAAAAGTGATAGTAAACTGGAGAATATTCAATACTGTTTGATACCATAAGGAGATAAAATGAAAAAAATGATTAAAAGCGTCAAAAATATTTGTATTTACACTATTTCTCAACAGAATCACTTATTACAGTCAAATTGGTATCCAAATAAATGAAACAAACCTAACACAATTTTTCCATATTTAAAGGTTTTTTGAGGTATATTCTTTTAATGTGCAGAAATCTAATAGTAGCTGCAGCAAATATATTTTAAAAACACTTTATGCATATACATTAAATACCATTAGGGCCCCAATATTTCACAAACATGAGTTTATCCTCCTCCTCTGCACTCTGTGCTTTTTATTTGCCTTTTTAAATTATCGGTACCAAGTTAGATTAGTGTTTTATCCAGATAAAGCATTTGAGAAAAGTGTCTATACTTTTGATGACTCTGACTGAGTCAAATACGAAGCTGTAAATTCCATCCTGGGAAAACGAACTTGAATGCATCATTTAAGGGTCAAAATCAGTGACATCCATAGGGTGTCTGTGTAACATCTACGTTAAAGGTCTACATAGATGAGCCTGGTTTCTGCTGCTCTGCTTTGATCTGTGTCTGACTTGAAGCTGCCTCTGCTGGCTCGCTCTAAAGCCTGCCGATACAGAGGAGTCAGTTCTTATTTGCTCATGATGACTCCCCTCAGAAACTATGCCCATCACCAAACACTGACAAATCAGCCAGAGCGGCGCAGAAAACTCCCAATCATTTGGAGATTTTCTTTTTTTTCCCAAAATGGCAGCATTTATAAATGCTTGAATCATGGTTTGTGTTGCAGAGGCTCTGGGTTACAAACTCAAACTGTCGGTTTAGAAAGTTTAACTCCCCGCTTCCCCAGATAAAGGCTGCAGTTTCCAATCAACCTTTCTCATTAATGCATGTGTGTTTTTTAAACCCCCAAGTCCACTTTAAGCTCTGACTGGGAGTTAATACTTCATCGGTCCTCTTTCCAGGCCGGATTGTCATCCGTTGCTAATTTACTCAGAAGTCAAACCCATTTCGTCATGGAAGACCTTCTCTTTTTTTTTTTTCCTTTCTTACTTAAGGAAAGCATCTTTCTCAGCTAAACATCTTCGATCGACTGACCTTTCCAGGCTGCTTCTTGTTCATTTATGACTTCATGGAAAAACAGTCGCCCCTATTTAAAGACGGATCGGCTTTAAATCAGCCTCCTTCCAGCCCTGAACGTCTTAAAAGGAGGCCATAATATCTCCCCCACAGAGTCTCTGTGCTTATATTTGCCTGCTGCATTATTTAGAGATCTGGATTAACGGAGTGAAGTAGCTTGTCTTGAATGTCAGAAGTCAACAGTAGCGACGTGTGGAGCCCAGATTCAACACGCCTCGCTGGCTTTGAAAATTAGGCCACTGCCCGTGTGCCAACACACAGGAGCCCGCATGGGGGGAGGGGGGTGGAAAATCACAGAAAGAGAGAGTGGGTGATGGTGAGGATTTTTTGGACTTTGTGTATTGACTGTGGGTCACAGGCTGCAGTCATTCCTGCGTATTTTCCCTTTATTCTCTGTTAATGATGATAAAGTCTAATCTAGTACCAGTTTGAACCAGTTTCATCTCCACGACGAAGCCCCCCCCCAAAAAATTAAACACATTTTGTTTCTAGTTTTGCTGCAGAGTTTAAACTTGTTGACAATATAAAACGGGTTTGTTTTGACAACTCTCTGTGTAAGCACATGGGTAAAGGCGTGATTAGTTTTCACCATAACTAAAGCAGCCAAGAGTTCCTGTCATCACAAAACAAATCTGTCCCTTTTTGTTGCCTCATATTTTTAATATACTTCAAAACAAACAAGTTTAAACCGATGTAATTATATATTAACTAGGTGTGAATTACCTCCCCATGTATGCTGTCTTTTTTTTTTTCTTCCAGTGGTGGGTTTGGACATCCAGGATGAAATGGGACGCCATGAGGTCGGTCACATAGACAACTCTATGAAGATACCTCTGAACCAGGGAGAGGGTTGCCGCTTTGAGGGAGAGTTCACTGTTAACAAAGTAAGCATTGATTAGTTCCAAGAAATCCTAAAAGTAAATCTTTTTTCATCAATGTATTTTTCATTTTAGGAATTAAAAAAGCTGGTTAGAAATTCACCCCAGTAAAACAGCCCCAGTTTGTTCTTGGCATGGCTGAAACACCAAAAGTTGGTGTGAGATCCCAGATACTGAAAACTGACAACATGAGGGGATCCTTTGGATGTTCAGCTTATCTTAGAAGCAATTAGACGTGAACCGGTCTGGATTTTGAGAGCTGATCGGCAATCTCCGATCCCAAAAGTCATTATCTACAGATCGCAGCACCAAATCCATAAATTCTTCAACTTCTGTTTCGTGTACATTGACATGGCATTATTAGGTATCAAAATCATGAACTAAACACCGTTTTAGTGGAGGAGGCAGCAGAGACGAGCTTTGTTTTGAACCAAAAGGAAAAAAAAAGAAAAAAAAAATGAAAAAAAAACATGCCGGAAATCCCCTAAGAAGGTTGGCGGGGGCCTTTTTAAAAAACCGCCTTAAATCAACCAAAAAAAGAAAGGTTTAAGGGCCCAACCCCAACAGTGAAAACCAACAACAAGCCCCCTCCCCCCCCACCCCGCCGCCCCGGGCCCCCAAAAGCCCCCCCGAACCCCCCGGCAATCCTTCAACCTCAACAAGTAACCGCGAAAAGGTAACCCCAGCTAGCCGTAGCCTCTTGCTGCTGATTCTCCCTGACAGGCTTCTCAAAAGTACTGCAGTCCAAGTCCCATTCAGCACTAGCCTATCCCACACCCTCAGCGTTCTGTTCCCCGGCAGACTTATATGATCTTCTGAGGTGCTCCTTGGATCAACGGCAGTTAGCCTAGCTAGCTTCAGTAAGCTGTAGCCTCTCCCCAGCCTGGCGCTGTTTCCCTGGTGGACTAATCCGAATCTCTGCTTTGCTCCTCCGCTCTCCTCTTGAGCCGCCTTATATCCCTCTGCCCAACATGCTCCTCCAATCTACCGCAGTGCTTACTGAGCTCCAGACAGAGGCACAGCTGGTCCTCTTGTCCCGGTTATGGTGCTCTCTTTCCCACTGTTCTCACACTGATTTCCCGCTGCTAATGTCTGAGCTCAGAATGCTTTGTCACCTTACCTGTGTAGTTCGGGTGATTGGTCCCCGTTTTTGGCAATTTGACCAAACAAACAGGGCCCAAGTAGTAGGAAGATGTGAATATTCTCAGAAGAAAATTAATCAACAATGCAACGAAGAAGCAAACATTGATAACTTGAAGACAATGGATAAAAGAAACATTTCAAGTTTTCAGTCACACAAACAGCACATTTGTGTAGCTCACTGGAAAGGTGTCCAGATAACAGAGTAATAGGGAAAGAAAGATAAGGCCCATTTACACTACCCCTTTGAAACTGTTGAGATTAGTCGGAGCATGGTAACTGAGATAACCGTGGAGTGTAAATAGCACCTACAACCAAACCGCACTAACATGGTACTAGTTCCTCAGTAGGGCTCGGACGGGTTCAGTTCTGGCTTGGTTCTCAGATAACAAAGAGCATATGAGCAGACCGCGTCATCTCCGTACAGTCAGCCTCGGCCTTGTTTCCTGCATCTGTAAGCCCTGTTTAGACTGTCGTATCCACTTCCCAAAGGCATACTGTCAAATAAATTCACCAAAGGCTGCCTTCTTTGCCTGACTCTCCGCAAACTTCCTGAATGTTACGGGGGGCCGCCATGTTGATTTGCTTGTTTACCTCTAGAGAGAAATATAGTGTAGATCGTCACTAGGAGGCTAGGAACCATGCTAGCATGGTGTGTAAATGGTTGTAAGGAACCATGTTTTTGTTAAACTTAAGCGTAAGTTTATTTGAATTCTTTGAAATTATCATGTTTTAATCCAAAATTCTAAAGGTTCCCATCCTGGTAGCAAAAGCTCTTAAAAAAAACCTGGATGTCACATAATGATTCTCGGTATAAATATTAAGATGTTACCCACTCACAGAAAGGAAAAAAAACCTTTGTTGGGTTTTAGTGAATCAGTGGAGTTCCTGCCCCCCTTTCTTCCTTCCTTCATCTGTCTAAACTGAGAAATGATCCCTGGGATTTATTTACGTCCATGTGTAGCATGTCGTCTAAGATCGTCAGCTCCGTTTGCTCCAACCTCACCACCTGCGTCAGTCCTTCCAGCCACCTTTAAAGTTATTAACCCAGCAGCTTGCATGTTTAACATAACTTTTTTTTAGGAAAAAAAAGTGAAGTGGAAAAGACATTCGGTTTCCAACCAAACTGCATCCATTTTAAACATTGGTTACAAACCTACTGTGTAACAGACACCGTTTTAGCAGCTGTGTGTGTTTGGTCTGCAGGTACCGGGGAACTTCCATGTGTCAACACACAGTGCTACAGCGCAGCCCCAAAACCCTGACATGACTCACACCATCCACAAGCTGGCCTTTGGAGAAAAGCTACAAGTTAGGACATGCACACAAACACAGCAAATTTAAGGGGATTAACAGAATTACTAAAAGCGGGAACTCTTGTCTGTATTGTGATCCAGGTACAAAAGGTCCAAGGAGCCTTCAATGCTCTAGGAGGGGCAAACCGGCTGTCATCTAACCGTAAGTATTCAAACAGCCTGGATATGAGGCAATGAAATCAGCACCTAGCAGTGGGAAAACTTGAATCACATTCCTGACACATAAAAACTATAAAAAACTGTCATATTTCATCCATTTACGTCAGTATTAGAACGATAAAAAAGGGCTTTCTAATTTTAACGCTCAAACACCTTCTGTTGCAGCGCTGGCCTCACACGACTACATCCTGAAGATTGTACCGACTGTGTATGAAGACCTAACAGGCAGACAGAGGTTTTCCTACCAGTATACAGTGGCAAACAAGGTTTTGTTTTGTCTTTGTTGTTTTTTCGGCCTTAGCAGAAGTTATATTGCATATATTATATTATATTTTACAATAATCAGCTGCTTTTGTCGCTTTAGATCAGGGTACGTTAAAGAAAAGCATCCCCGCATCATAATGCTGTCACTACCCTTTATTTTTAAACATCATTAAACACATTTTAAATGAAATGCATCTAAATATTAAGTTAAAAATCATAAAGAAGGTGAGTTATTCCATGAATCCACCAGCTAAGGGTGTGATGCTGCATTTAGCTTCCGGCTTCACTTAGAAGAGAAGGGTAACCTATAGTGAATGGAAACACTCCCAAAATGTCAACAAACCCATAAACGCACTTCCTAGAACTGTGTTAACTGAAAACTGGCTTCAGAGTATAGACTGACAACATTGCCGGGCGACTGTGAAACAGGGAAATGAGGGTCCTGGTGGAACGTCAACACAGACAGAAGGATTCTTTGTCCTGCCAAACATGCTGATATGATTGTATTTATAGAGTGGGCCAATAAACAGATGAAGTTTAATCTAAGTTGATTAAAGCTGTGTCATCACTAACTGAACACACTGCAGTTTCTTCTAGTTAAGTTTAATAGTTCCAGCTTTAATGACTAGTTTTTGATTTTTTTTTCCCAATGACGCACTGCCTTCTTTACTACAAAGAAAGAAAATTGATTAAATTCCTCAGAACTGATTTTCTGAACTGATTAACTTTTTCACCTTTAATTAAATTTCTTCTTTTTCTCTGATGTTGCTGCAGATCTCTGTAAAGGTCTCCCGCTTTTATCTCTGTTTCTACATAGGAGTATGTTGCCTACAGTCACACGGGCAGAATAATTCCTGCGATCTGGTTCCGATACGACCTCAGTCCAATCACAGTCAAGTACACAGAGAGGAGGCAGCCTTTCTATCGCTTCATCACGACGGTCAGTGAGAATATTTCTGTACATGGCTCCATTTCCTGTATTTTCCCCCCCCCCTGTCTTTAAAGGTCAAAGACTCCAAATGTTATCAGATCTGGTCTTTTATATGAAAGGGTAAAATAATGAAATAAACAACATCTAAATCTTTATATGTAGGTCTTAGGGTAGTAGAATATGAGAGCTAGGGACATTTGTCTCATAAACTGTTTTTTTTCTTCCTAAAGTTAGGGGTTAGGGTTAAGATTTTTATAGAACAAAAACATAAAATACGATCACATTTATTTTATTTCTAAAAGAAAAGCAAATATTTGATATACAGTTCTTTTTCCCCCCAGCTTTTGTCATTAGACTGTCACAAGTACAGAGCAATGGAATGAACTCTCTGCATTTGACCCTTCTCCTTGGGGATCAGTGGGCTGCCATTGTGTGGTGCCCATGGAGCAGTGTGGGCGGGGGTTATGAGTGGCAGTCTGTGGGAGTGGGGCTCAAACTCATAACCTCTGGATTCCAAGCTTTTTGCCCTAACCACCAGGCCGCCACTTCTAATGGCTGTTTTATATTTGTTATAGACTTAAACTCAACTTTATTAATCCCTTGGGATTATTCCTTCAGGGAACTTATTCTTTTCCAAGTTTTCTAAAATATTTCAATTTCATCTTCTTTGAAAGCTGGAAGAAGTGTAATAAGTCAGGAACTTGCCAACAACAGGTTGGGGAGGGGCTGCATTGCATTACCTAGCTGTTATAGTACCATCAGGTAATTGGGTTTTTGCATGGACACCAAAGTGTTTGCTTTAAATCAGTCGGTTTTTAGGAGCACATCAGCTAAAATGCTTTCTGATAGTTTAGGAGAAAACCTCCCAACCTTCTGGAAAACCAAGCATGCTTTTATATCAGAAATGGGGGGATTCCAATAACTGTTATACTATTAACTGGTATAAAGGGACTTCTGAGAAGATGACTCTGAGGTCAGTTAAACAAACGACAGGAGTCAGGATGGTGCCTCGTTCAAAACCTACATCCAGTAATGCTGGAAAGAAATTAAGAAAGCATCAAACCTTAACCGCAGTGTTGCCTGAAGTTTTTACTGTGGGGCGGCCAAAAAAGATTAGCATGAAGCGCTATGAGGAGGTTTTCTTTTTTATTTAATTAAAATGCAAATATAATATCCTTTCCACAGGCACAGTTGTCTGACTTCTGTAGAAAACAGAATTCATTCATTCATTTAATACATTTCATTTAGTAGTTTTAATCCATATCATGTAACTATAAATCCCAATATTGTGATTTTGAATTGATAGATTATCATTTAAAAAATATAGCGATTTTTAACAGAATTTAGGTTTTTTTCTTACATCTTACAATTATTTGAGATTTAATGTATAAAAGTATAGAAAAAAAACAGCAACAGCTGTAATTATTTTTTAGATATTTTTGTTATTCCAGCACTAAGCATCTAGCCTGGGTGCCATTCCGAACTTAGTCCCGCCCACAACGTTTGAGGTCGGGAAGTTCAGTCTGGCATTGCTCAATAGTAGCGCGAGTATGCTCGCACAATATCTGGCGGGCCAATCAAATTATCAGGGCGGGCTTTATACGATGATGGACAGATGATCAACAGTAACGTAATCAACCACGTCACCAAAGCGCGCTTGGGTGACAACAACAATGGCTGCCGCTGGAGAGTTGAGGTGTAGATTTTGCTATTAGGTCTGTTCTAGAAGATATCGACAGCAAATTAATTTTAAAAGATTAACAGAGAAACGGGATCAAGGCTCTTCTTATTCTAGGCGTGAAACTGCACGCTTTGATTTTTGTTGGCAACAACTATCCATCGCTTAACATACGTCACGCACTCCGTTGCTCTTATTGGATTCACTGGATGTTTGTTTGGAGTTAAATTAAATTAAAAGCAAAAAATGGCAGAAAAGGTTAAAATACTGTGTTGCAGATTACACATTTTTTCTTCTTTCAAGGTTTAGTCATTTTGCCATATATGTATTTGCCTCCCCGTATGAACTGGCAAATCAGAGGGCCACACCTGGGACTAGAAGTGAGATTAAGATGGATTATGGTCCTTGAGAGCTGCTCCTGCTCTCAGGGCTATGTCACAGTATTCTGTATTTTAGTTATCTCTTTTACTGTTTTTTAAGACTCAAGTATCATAGATGTTATTTTCACCTTAAAAGGGAATTAAATTATGTAGATATGTTTTTGTGGTTCTCTTGGTGATAATCCTCCTGGCTCTTGTGGGTTTCAGTTTCTAGAATTTTGACATGAGTCTTGTTTTCTCTGTGCAATAACCTGAATATCTTCACCAAACCTGTTTAGTTTTTATCTTCTGCTTCTCACCTTCAGCCCTTTGGAAACATTTCCTGCTGGTTGATATCTTAGAGTCTGGATTCCCTGTTCTGCTGTTTTCGTTTCTCCGGCTGCAGCTTTGTTTTAGACTAGCGTGCTCGCAGTGTTATCACTAGTCATTGCCAAGGATTGTGAGTCCAGCGGCTTTTTGCCAGTTTATGGCTCATTCTTTGGTGTGAGCGTAATGCTTCATGACTAAATGTAATCGGAACCTGTGGAATCTGTGCAAAAAGATGCTGAAAAAAAAGCCTTGAAACTCTCAACCTTTGGTTTTGACTGAGTGATGTTTTTTTGCAGATTTGTGCCATCGTCGGAGGGACGTTCACCGTCGCCGGGATCATCGACTCGTGTATATTTACTGCCTCCGAAGCCTGGAAGAAGATCCAGATTGGAAAGATGTCATGAGGGTCGCCTCTCAACCCCGTGCTTATTTTATTTATAAGTGCAAAGTTGCTAGCCTGTTAGCTAAATCCACTTCTGATTGAAAACAAGCCAGAGACCAATGAGAAGCATATGATTTAACTACCAGGCTGTCTCTGTTACTGAGGATCCTCTCCAGCTCCATCTACTCTGCTTCTGACGTCGGGATCCTGATGATCACATGTCTTCTAACACCGTCATCGGTGTCAGGAGAGGACATCTCTTCTTACAACTGGGATTCATGTCGAGGAAAGACGTGCCAGAAACTTAATAGTGTGTACTTGTTTTGTTTTGTTGTTTAAATGGCTCATATTTTCTCTAAGGTTTTCTACTTTGGTGCTTAAACTCCATACATTCAATAATTCAACATTCTTTACCACTATTCAGACAGATGTGTGGCTCATCATTACTCCGTAAAACCATGGTTGTATTAAGGAAGTGTCATTTGGCTTCATTACAAAAAATCTAAGAGGTTTTTATGATTTAAAAGGTGCAAAAAGAAAAAAAAAAGACTCCCAGTTTGTGCCTTATGGTCACTGTTTCCTTTTAATAATTGCTGTCAGTGTTATTGTTTCTGTATCTTTGTAGATGGGCTCTGCAGATTGCCTTTTTTGGTGGGTTTATTTCACTCATTTCATCACCGGCTGTATTAAAACACTATCTTGGACTTTTCAGGATGATTTAAATAACTGGAAATTATGTAATCACTGTGTTATTGGTTTAAAGTGGCTGTTTTTTTTTTTATACCCTTCTGTTAAACTGTTGCTACTGGCCTCTGATGTAGCACCATGATAACACAGAGCCTGTTTTTCTGCTTTCTAAGCCATACAGACGTTTATCATGGTGTCTGTTTCCCGCCAAGGGGCCATAGAGAGTTTACCGCACAACATTCCGTATCATTTCCATTTATGAACCGTTCCTGAAAGGCTAACAAGCCTTAACATGATTCAGAAATTAAGTCTATTCGCAGGCACACCTCTAAATCCCATACATTTGATTATTATTGTAAGGTTATCTCTTATTCTATTCAAAAAGTGTCTGATAATACACAGTGAAAGGGTTGGTATTTTTGGTGGCAACTGCCATCTTGTTAAGTGGAAACATTTAAATAGGGCTGGCAAAAAAAAAAGGCCCAAAGAGGCAAGCTGTTTAGTTCGTAATGGAAAGTTTAGTGGAAGGAAAATCTGGTCAAAAAGGTGTACATGCAACAGCCTATCCAAGGAGTAGGCTGCAGTTTTAAGAGCAATCATAGACAACCAGGGCCTGGGGTAGAAATGTCACTTTCCTGGATTTAAGCCAATTCAGATGCATCCAATCAGGGCCAAAGGAGCACAGCTTTATGGAGACACAGACCCAACCATGCAAACAGGTTGAGGGCCTCTATAAACAACCTCAGCAGAGGTTAAGTTTGAATGCCATTCTGCGGCGCAACCCTTTAAAAATCCTGTTGAACTGCTCTTATGTAACATTTTTCATTTTGAAACTCATATCTAACCATGAACTTCATCAGCCTGTGGGTGGTATTCTAATTTACTGAGCTCTGTACTCACACCATGACACCTGCCGTGTATTACAAAGACTTCACCTTTATCTATTATTCATTGAAACTGAAAATGGAACCTTAAGTATATATATTTTTTCTTCTATAAACGTTTAAACATGACTCAGAGGTGGACTTTGCACGCTTATTTTCCTTCAGCTGGCACCCAGAGCCAACACCCTGCAGCTCGTCACAGGCTGATGGGAGGCTGTAAGGCGGCTTTAAGCTCTCACAGCTATCATCATGCTTGCGTCCACCTCTGATAAGAGGTGTTCAGTGTGACTCACTCCTTTCATCGCCCTACATCCCTCTGTTTACCTTCGTCATTTGGCCCGTTACTGGAGGCGAGTAGCCAAATGTGACCAATCAAATGGCATAATTATATACGTTTCACCAAATGGTTCAGTGGCTCCAATTGATAAACAGGCCTAAAACACCCTGGATTTAGTGGAATTAGCAGATGCATCGTTAAATATTACATAAATGAGACAAACAAAGGATAAAGTTTATTTATTTTCTCCTAAATGAGACAAAAGGTGTAAAAAATTAGGCAAGAAAATTTTATATAAAAGATAAAAATATAAATGTATGTAAAGAAAACGATTTTGATTCATTATTGTTGTAATACTGCCACCCAGTGGCTGGTTAAAGGAAATCCAGGCACATCAGTTAAGTCCATTTGCTGAGGAGGAACAGTGAGATGAGAAAAAGCCAGCTCTGCTCAGAAGCTCTTCAATCCTTTTGATAATGAGACATGAGTATAATTTCACATTCCTCCCTCAGATCACCAACATCACTGCTCTTCACTCATTTTCTTTGGTTTACACGTTTGAGGAGGCCAAGGAAGGGGTCCCTGGCGATGAGTAGAAGTCACAGAAGCCTTCCTCGGACAGGTGGCCGTACTCGTTGTTGTAGAAGGTCTGTCCTGTCAGCTGGCTGAAGAAGTTGGGACGATGTCCGGAGCTGCTGGTGTTCTGACCAGTGGGACAGTGGGAGGCTGTGAGGGGCTCCGTGCTGCTGGTGCTGCTCATACGACTGAGAACAGGGCGAGAAAAGTCAGACTTTACTTTTAGGAAGGTATTCCTCAGCTAATGAATTTAAGTCTTAATCACTTAATTGAAGCTTTCTTTTAAAAATAAAACCACAAATTCAGTTCCATTATATAATCAGATTTATAATTATATAATTAAACTCCACCCATACTTTGGTGTTAAACCCACAAACTTCAATGTGTTTAGGGGAGATTTTATTGGGAACACACAATTACAGTAAATTGGGATGGCTGCATTTATAAAGGGGAATTTGTTTGTGTTCAACCCCTTTCCATGGTTAACAAAGTCTTTAAAACTCATAATTTTACTAACCCACTTTGCTAAATCCATGTTAGTATGGAGCGAAATTTCTCCCGTTATTTATTTTGAAGATGGAAATCCCACAAAAAAAAAAAAATGCAATCCACAAATTAAATTTTGAAAAGACAAAATCTAAGAAAACAGTAAAGTTACTCTCAAAACCTTTTTTGAAGTAGGACACTCTTCAAATTATTTTATATATAAATAAAAGAATTCTTTTTTTCAAATTGCATCTTACAAATCCCATTCTCCTTACTTCTCAGGGTGGGCTTTCTTCTAAAGCGAGGAGCAAAGACGCATTTCTATCAGTCTGCATTAAATTTATTTCTATAACACGTCTCATCTCAAGCCCCTTTATGGAGACAATTCAACCAACTCATAGAGTCAGATTGGTAAAAAGTTTATATTTTTTTATTTTTTTAACAGTGTCCTGTCTGGCAATGTGGCAATAAGAATAATTGTCTTGATGCCAAAAAGAGCCCAACAGATTTTACTTTCACAAGTGGAGCAGTATGGTAATTGCCATATTGCTCCACTTGTTTCATGCATATAAATTGCTTCATTATAATTATGCAGGGAGTTTTACAGTTTATATGGACACTGCAATGTAAATAGAGCAGAAAAACAGAAGAAGAAAAGGAAAAAAGAAAAAAAAAGAGAATAGATGAAAAGAAAGAAGTCTGCTTCATCACCTGTAACGAGATGAAAAAAGAACAGCACAGCCGAAAGACATGGTACGAGATATACAATAAAGCAACACCTTGAAACTATCGCTTAAGTCTGAAATGTACTCTGTGTTACCTGAAGATATGAATGTGGGGTTCCTGCATAAAGTTTATATATAAGGAAAGCCAGCTGCTTGCATTGAGTTATTGCCTCGCAGGACTCCTGGTTAAACATGTGGCGCCATTATTTTGCATTTTGTTGTAAACAACAGCAATCCCTGACACAGAACATGCATAAAGTGACAGTGGAGAGGAAAATAAAAACTCCTTTTTTACGAAAACAATTTTTTTATTGGTCAAGAGCGAGAAGGGAATGTGATCTGTAAAACAATTTGAAAAGAAAGCTTCTTGTTAAACTCAATCTGAAAAATATAAGTTTGAAAAAAGTGTATTTTTTAAATATAAAATGTAAAAAACAGTTGTAAAACTTTTTTTTTTTTGAAAAATGAAACCTGAGAATACCACAGTTACATAACCTTTATTTAGTGTTTAATTTTTCTTTTATTTCCTTTCTGAAATGCTTTCCGTTTTTAAATTTCCATTTACAAAACAAGTTTTTTTTTGTTTGTTTTTTGTTTTCAAATTAAAATTTTGAAAGCGTGTTCTTTTTCCCGTTCTTTTCGGCAAACAACAATAATACAAAATTCACTCCATATGTGTGAGCATAAACCTGGTTGAACTGTACATTCACAACTAAAAGTGTTCTGGTTTGCCAAAGCCCATTTAATAAAATCCTTTAGCTTTTTATTTTAACATATATATTGCTTTAGATTTCCCTGTAGACTTTGGATAGAAAGGATGATTTTATACTTAGGAGACTCTCAGAGTAAATGTAGGTGAGAATGTGACCTTCGGGGAGAGTTTCACAAAGACTGAGTACATTATCTGCACAATTTTGTTATCAGTTTTAGTACTAAAGCAGTTTTCAGATCCTCATCTATTCCTGGTACAGTAGCTGGATAAATCTTCTTATTTGTACTTGTAGCTGACGTAGATTCTCAAACATTTTTGAGAAACTACTTCTCAAAACAAGACTAAAAATGGGTCCTTGGGTCTAAATGAGTCATCCTGTTGTGATGTTCTGCTTCCACATGCAGATTGAGAGTCAGCTCATGCATATTTCCCCCTCAAAGTTGGTTTCGCTACACATAGAACAGCGTGTGACTCCTCAACATTTTCCAGCCAAGAATGAATGTTCTCTGATGTTGACTGAAACATGTGGAGCATTTGTTTGCTCATTGCTTTGAAATGGAGTCCTTTGGGTGAGCAATGCGCATGCATCACCCCAAAATGTCAAACTATGTCACTAAATAATCGGCTGTATAGTTTCCTGCATTTCTGTTCTCTGTGATGCATAGTTTTTGCGTGACAAACCTTTTTAACACAGCGCCCCGGTGGTTGTGCTCGATTCTCTCAAATTCTTCAGAGGCCAGAACCATCCCGCTGTCGGTCTGGTTATCCTGGGAATGGGACACAGTTTGAAGGTATATAAATCAGCTATATTTATAAAGCGGAAATAAAAACGTCACCGTGCTCTATTAACAAGTATAAATAAAATAAAAGAGCTTACTTGTGGAGGCTTTTGTGAATGCATCCCCAGGGGCAAATCTTCAAATGTCTTCACTCTGGGGTGGCATATTTTAGAGGGCCCAACAAACATGCAGCCGGCAAAGGGGACACAGTTATAATACCTGTTCAGGGTTTAGAGAAGAAGCAAAAGCAGTTTTTACTTAAGGCCTGACAAAAGATCACAGGGTTAAAAAATAATGAATTTTTCACAATATCGATAATCCATTGTAATTGTGTTTACGCTCTAATAGTTTTTTATACTTTTACATTTAGTTTTCATTATAACATTAAAGCTACAGTGTGTAACTTTTAGCGACATCTAGCGGTCAGACTGCAGACTGCAGCAACATGAACATCTCCCCCCCAACAGTATGGCGAGCGTTACGGGACAAAATGTCTTCCACGACGTCCGCATCACCTACCTTCTCAAGTGATGAGGTTTGTTTACATAGATAATT